AGAGGATGGATTTGGGATGGATGGAGGGTGGACAGGCAGGCTGGTGGGTCCTGTAAGGAGTCAACCCGACACGAGACAGTTATAATAATAATAATAATAACTGTATTTTTATTATTAATAATAAAATAAAGGGCCCCGCTGATTGCCGACAAGGAGTACCAGCTGGAATCAATAAGCCCGCCACCCTGTAAGTAAACAAACCAAGAAACCTAACAGTAACACACTCAGCATCTTTCTTTCCTGGCCAAAGTCAAAATGGTGTCCCATGCTTCTTTGACCCAAAGCTTCTCTCTCACACCTCAAATGTTTTATCTTCCACCTCTGTCATTTCCTTCCGCTTCTATGCCTTTGTCCTCAACCAAATCTAAATCATGGTGCTTTCCCTCAGCTTTACACCTGTCCATTTCTACAAGTCCAGTGATGAGACAACTGCCTGAATTGCACAATGCACCAGGTCCTGATGGTGTTATTCCCGGAGTCATGAAGGTCTCTGCAGAGCAGTTCCATGGGATTCTACAGCACCTCTACAACCTCAGCCTGACCCAGGAGACAGTTCCAGTTATTTGGAAGAACTCCTACCAAAGAAAATGCATCGCCTGTGGAGCTGGTGAACAGTTACCTTGCAGGCCAAAGGTCTTCAATGACTACAGACCTTTTGTCCTGACATCCCAAATAATGAAGGTCCTACAGTGACTCATACTGGTTCAACTCAGCACTAAACAAGCAGCAATCAGGACCCCTTGCACTTTGTTTTTAGTTGGTGTTGAAGATTGCATCATAAACTGGCTTCAACAAACCCATCGTCATTAAGACAAAGCAGGCAGCACTATCAGGGTCATATTCTTCCATTTCTCCGGGGTATTTAACATGAATCAGCGTAATTATCTTTTTCAGAAACTACACAAAACTCAAACAGTGGCCTCAGCAATCACCTGGATCCAAGATCGCCTGACAAACAGACCACAATGACTACCTGGTTACACTTGGTCTCTCACCACTGGCGTAGCCATGAGTGTGCCAGGGTGTACTATTGCCACCCAAAGAGGCAGCTGGTACACCTGGTAACCTACTGACTTGACCTTAATTTAAAAACAGCTGTCAGAGAAACTGGGCTCTGATTAAATAATAAATGTGTTTAGGGCAAAGCCAGGCCTCCGTGGCCTTTGAACTGAGAGCTGTGCAGTGCACAAAAGGTAAACAGAAATGAGTCGTGGTTTCCATTAATTATTAATGTGCACATATTGAGACATATTGTGTAGGTGTCATTTTTTTGGCACACAATGTCTTTCCTCTGGCTACGCCATTTCTTTTAAGTCTGAGAACCTCCGACTTCCACTACAAGATAGAGTCCTGTTATCTGCAGTATACAAGTAAAAAATGGACAAGAAGCTCTGTACAGGGAGCTGGTGAACCACTTGGTGGAATAGGGTGAAAACAATAATCTGATCCTGGGTGTGAACAAAACAGGGGAGATGATTTTAGACTTGAGAAGAAACAGGAACACGATGATGTTGGGATCTGAAGGTCTGTCCACTTTCTCCACCAGAGGGTGCACTGGATCTCCTGGAGCCGGAGCTGATTGCCACCACCTGTTGCTCATTTGCTCATCAGGAGACCAGTATATAAGGAGGCAGAGGACATCACTCCAGTGCCAGAGTGTTTGCCAGTTATGGTTAGCAAGCCTGAGCCAACCTGCCTGTCTGAATCTTTGACTCCCTGAAAACCTGAACCAGAACTTGATTTGTTTTGTCCTCTCTGCTTCCCAGGTTGAACCTGCCTGAAACCAGAAACCCTGAAGAGTTTCTCTGTTGGAAATCTGTCTGTCTGATCTCTGAAGAACCCTGGAGAATCAAACCTGTCAAAGACCTGCCTACCTGCTCTCTGAAGAATCTGGAAGTTAAACTCAAACCTGTGATCTGCAAGCACTCAAACCAAGCTCTGCCTCCACCAAGCCCTCAGCCTGCCTACAGCCTCTGGACCCTCCTGGTTCCCCCCCTCTGCCGCTCTGCTCAAACTCCAGAACAGGTACAGACCTGCACTCTCTCATCCTGCAAATCACCTGGACTTCTGCTAACTCCTCTGTCCCCCTCTGCAGTATACCCAGTCGTGACCAGTCCAGGATCTGATAACCCCCTGACCAGTTTACATTCTGTACAGTGTTTATTCAATAAACCTTTAAACTTTTTCCCAGTCTCTTGAGTGTTCTGCATGTGGGTTAGGAACCTGAAAAAAAAACATGACAGATGAATCCTATTTCCATCAGGGGAAAAGAAGTAGAGGTGGTGGAGTGTAAATACCTTGGTGTTCACCTGGATAACAAACTAGACTGGAGGCATAACTGTGAAGAGCAGACTGCACTTCCTAAGGAGGCTTAGATCCTTTAGTGTTAGCACCAAGATGCTGCATATCTTCTATAAATATGTTGTAGAGAGTCTGATCTCTTCTGCCGTCATCTGCTGGGTTAACAGCATCAGTACAAATGACTTAAAGAAGCTCAATATTGAAAAAGGCCAGCTGTAGTCTAGGAACTCCCCATGACATCTACAAATGATAGTCTACAGCTATCAACATAAACAAAGAATGAGTTACTGCAACATTTAATTTCCCTTTCGAAAAACAAAGTATTTATAAATAAAAAATTAAGAGTGGAAATGAATATTGTTAAATCAAAAGTTATTTATAACTGTAGAAAGGTCTCTCATGTCCATTTATTATTTGTAAATTGATGGTTTTCATTTATCGAAACACTTTTAATGCACTAGTGTGCATTAAAAGTCTGCTTAATTTGAATACATCCACTATGTTTGTAAGCTTGAATTTTTTATTAAACCATTTCCTTCCTTTGTGTTGTGACTATTGTATTACTGGATTCTAGCCTCCTATGATCCCTGGAAGTTTGGTCAGATAATAGATGGGGGCCTGGTCTTAGAGGACCTTAATGTATGGAGGGGATGATTAAACTGCACCACCAGCTCCTGCTTGAGAGAAAACTTATATTATAATTTGTTTAAGTATCTTATTCTATTTAATTTTTATATTTGTATTTACTATATAATATGTTTTTATTCTTAGTTGTCATTTAGTTCTGATAGTCGTCAGTTTTTCTTTTTTTAGGTAGTTCTTTATGCAGTCAGTTGGTTTGTTTTTTTGCCTGAATATTATTTTGCTTCTATTGCCCTTTTATGATCTACATATTCTTTTTTTAAAATCTAACCTGCAGGTAAAATTATAGAAGTATATTTGCTTTAAAGTGGGCTTCTCAGTGGTGCAGTGGGTAGCACTTCTGCCTTGCAGCGAGAAGGTTCTGGGTTTGTTCCTGGCCCAGGGTCTTTCTGCATGGAGTTTGCATGTTCTCCCTGAGGATGCGTTGGTTCTCTCCAGGTACTCTGGCTTCCTCCCACAGTCCAAAAACATGACTGTTTAGTTGGCTTCTCTAAATAGTCCTTAGGTGTGAGTGTGTGTGTGAATGGTTGTGTGTCTCTGTGTTGCCCTGCAATGGACTGGCAACCTTTCCAGAGTGAACCCCGCCTCTCGCACATTGACTGCTGGAGATAGGCACCAGCACCCCTTGTGACCCCATTTGGGAGAAGTGTGTCAGATAATGGATGGATTTGCTTTAAAGTATAACTATAATTTACTTCTTTGTTTTTTATTTTTGCTTTTTTTCTCTACTGATCAAGAAAACAAGTATAAATAATATACAATTTAAATTCAAATGTACTGTAAATAAAAACTGAAATATTGTTTTTATTTGTATAATTAATGCTTATTTTATACCGTTTATCTTAAATTTGCATTTTGTATTATTTTTCCTGAGTAGATTCTAAAACTGACATGCTGAACTCTCTTTTAAAAAGACACTTGACAAGTTTTGTTGACAGAATGTAGACCTTTGCTCTTTGAATAAAGCTTTAGTTTTTTTTCTTCACAAAAATGCTGCAAAAATCTTGTTTAGTTTGTTTTGTCTATGGGTTTATCTTGTGCGGAGTTCAAATTTTTACGCTTTCACTTTTTTATCTATCATTAGAAAGTGGACTTGGATAGTTGCAGTGCTTGCGATTCCCCACGTGTGGGCAGGCAAGTAATCTAATAATCAGTGAACCAGAGAATGTTTTTGTCTCACAATTATCGGTCAGTCTTAAAGTTCAGCGATTAAATGGTAAATGGAATCATCTTTATGTTTATATGGGAACAGAAAAGGTTGTATTCAATCTTATTATGCATGCACTCCATCAATTAATGATTCTGAAACATCATATTTTTTATATGGGGATATTTAATAGCTAAGTGTTTGAAATTATCTGATGAAGTCACATAACTGTTTAAAATGAATTTATGGGGAAATGGGCGCTTGTAGATTAATATTCACCAAAGTTTTCAGTGTCTGTTTAACTCTGACATCACCAGACGATGAACCCAGACTGAGAAAACTTGTCACAACTTGAGAAAGTTGTTCTTCTGCTTCTCCTTTTTTTCCCCCTCTGTTCGTCACACTGCAGAGACACCAGCGAGGCGTCCGCTTACTGACTGGTTCCTGCGCTGCGACCTTACAGACAACATGACAGAACCTGTTTTTAATTGCTCTCACAGAGCCCAACCCTTTCCCGTATGTCGAACTAAGTTCAATCGTTTACTGTTCTGGTACCAAATCTGAAACTAGGTAAAAGGGCGCAGCTTTTCAACCTTGAACGCTGGAGATGCAATGCTTGTGCTGCGTGGCACAGAAAATCTGATCATTGTACACAAACCAAACATTTACGCATTCATCATCCAGGTGCTCAAATTGGCTCATACTGATAAAGGATTAACACTAAGTGATAGTGAGTCAAATGCCAGGGCGTGAGCGCGTGCTCTCAGATGTGTGAACGTTCGTGTTGTGGGAGAGGACAGTTTGATGCGTAATTTCACCAATGCCCCGTTGCGCTCATTGGTGCGTCTCTCCAACGTGTCACCAGTTTTGGTGGATTACCCCAGATATCTGCAGCATCAAAAGGGTGAGACGCCACTGCTTCTTCAGCGTCTTTCTTCACTGCACCAGAGTTTCCAGCAAGAGCATCTGACCACACCAAGTGGAAAGAAGCACTAAAAGAATAGATTTTAAAAGATTTTTATTAGTCAAATTACTTAGTTCGAAAATGCAAATCCTCGCTTCACACTGGAGGATGACGACGTCTTTTTCACTCATCTCACTGTTTCTACTACTGCCAACTTTACTGCAGAAGGGTCTCTGGGTGTGCGGCTCCCCAGGCTGCGCATCCTGTGGCTTACCACCGTTGGAGAAAGAGGCAGAGGAGAGGCTGATGATAGAGATCGCAAAACAGCAACTTTTGGACAAGCTGCACCTGAAAGAGAGACCAAACATCACTCAGACGGTGCCGCGAGTGGCGCTTCTCACCGCGCTGCGTAAGCTTCACTCAGGGCGCGTCAGGCAGGATGGTACCCTTGAACTAGATAACAGCTTACCAACAAAAGATCAAGGCTATGAGATAGTGAGCTTTGCAGATATAAGTAAGTTGTGCTTTCATTTTTCATACCCTAAAGCGGTTTTGGCATGACTCTTTTACACTGTACACGAGCGCGCTTTTTGATCCGGTTCGTGCGTAAAATAGTCTTTGTTATTTTACGCACATAAAGTAGCATAGGGCCTGGAAGAGATTACATTTTTACTCTTAGTTCTCGCAATTTAGTGAGAAAATATGGAAATATTCTCTCTTAGAAATGTTTTTTATTCATCAAATGGTCAAATGCAGAGGTGATTTTCTCCAGTGTGAGATTAATTAAGTTCAATTCTTATCAATTATTAAACATATTATGCTGGTTCAAAATGCATATTGTATTGATTTTTAAAGTTAGATAAACACCACGCCCCCCTTCAGCAGTCAGAGGAATTTCAAATCTCTAGAAAAAAAAAAGTTGTGGTTGATTTTGCAATATTAACACAGATTTAATAAGGTCAGTTGATGTTTTTTTTTTCAACGTCAAGACTGACAATTTGACCCAAGCAACGAAAATTGGAACTTTAAAGCATCCTGGTTAACAACTAAAATCTTTTATCTTACTGAACCTAAATTTTAGGATGCTTAATGCCAAAAATAGTGTAGACAAATAAACAGATAACAAGATTTCCTTAGGGTAGGATCCAAGAAGCATTTTTACAAGAGAAACATGATTAAATAGAGCACAGATAGAGAAAATAGAGAAAAAACAAGTGGGGTGAAAATGTGTATAGAGAATGCTAGAGGACACATCTAAGTTTTGGGAAAATTATGATGCAACAAAAGATGAAGTGGAAAATATTCTCATGCATACATGTTTTCTTTAAAGATATAAGAACTCTTGCTGCAGAAAGGTTTTCATCTAAAGACCCTTTTTAATAATAATACTGTATATCACTAATATTATAAATGAGATGAAAAGTTACCTTAAATAGCACTTTTCATGGCATACAGTACCATGAAATTGTAACCTTACCTCTTGTTTTTTTTTTTTTTCTCTCTTACTAAAAACTTAGCCTCTGTCTGTGTTTAACACAGGTTTCGTGCCTGGTCTGAGTAGTTTTTAGCTCCAAACATGTTTTTATTCTATTCTGAGCATCTTCACTATTCCTGCTTAAGTAATACTTTGCCACATGACATACTGCCACCACCATGTTTTACTGTAGAGATGGTGTATTAAGAAAAATGTACAACATAGGTTTAACAAAAAGTTTAATTTGGTGTCAGTTTAGTACCTTTTCCAAGTCTTCCCTTCAAGGCTTGAACAGAACTGCTAGGAGGGTATCATTTACCTTTCTTAAACAATGCCACTACTTTCTCTAAAGGTCAGATTGCAGAGTGATGGCTAACAGACATTCTGCACTTGATTCTTACACATGAGTGATGGATCGCTGCATCTTTCCACTTTCTGTTAATAAACTGAATGTTGCTCTGTGAGGCGTTCACAGCTTGGGATATTTGTTAGTTCAAACTTGGTTTTGCACTGAATGTGCTGGATTTTATTCAAGAGCATTACATTCAAAGCTGACAATAAAATCTGATAGGAATGTGGTAAAATATGAAACTATGTATTTCCCAATTATATCTTCTTAAAAAATATAGCTATCTTTTTAAAGCTTGTGTTTGTAAAATGACATTTCAACAAAAAATCAAGAGGTATGGATCTATTTGAAATGCACTGTATGCCTTTTGATTAACAGTGTTTAGAACATACTAAAATGCTAGTTTGTTGTATCTTGATACAGAAAACGAAATAAATGAACTCACAACTTTCGTTTCAACATGTTCCCTCTTGGTTATAAACTGTTGGCACTTTCATATGTTCAAAATATTAACAATCTGTTTTTTGTTTTTAAATTGTCTTTGTTTCATAGATGATTCAGGCAGCGGTGATAAGGCCAGCCTCAGCCTTACCTTTCAGTTTCTACAGGAACGTGGCAAGAGCATCCAAGTCCTCCAGTCCTCTCTGTGGATCTACGCTCAACCCTCTGAGGATCCTTACCGGAACTCTCGCCTGCTTGCCCGGGTCTTCCTCTCAGCAGACGAAGGAACCTCAGGCTCTAATCGCACCCTGGTAATAGAAAAGATGCTGGAAGTCAAAGAGAGTAACTGGCACACCTTCACAATAACACGCACACTACAGACTTTCTTGGATGGAGGTCAGAGACGGCTCCGGCTTGAGGTCAGCTGTATAGAGGATGGAAGGAACCTCTGCTCTTTAGATGGCTCGGTTGACAGAGCAAACCAGCCCTTCATGGTGGCCCAGGTGCGTCTGCGCGATGACCACTCCAAGCATTTAGTCAGAAAACGCTCACTGCGCTGTGGCGATGAGGTGACGGTCTGCTGCAAGAGAGACTTCTACATCAGGTTTAAGGACATCAAGTGGGATGAGTGGATCATTGCACCTGAAGGCTACCACATGAACTACTGCATGGGTCAGTGCCCCCCACATCTGGCTGGCTCGCCCGGCATAGCATCCTCATTCCACACTACTGTCTTCAGCCAGCTTAAAGTCAATGGCATCAACACAGGCACGGCTTCATGCTGCATTCCCACTGAGCGGCGGCCACTCTCCATGGTCTATTTCAACTCTCAGCACAGCATCGTTAAAATGGATGTCCCTGATATGATAGTAGAGTCCTGTGGATGCACATAAAGAACAGAAAAAGGCACTCTGTGACTAACAGATTGACAGACTGAAATAATTTAAGAGGTATGCTTGCTTTGGACAGCCTAATAATTAAACATTTTTTACAAGTGGCTAAAACAGATATATGCAAATACACTGAATGCCTATACTGAAACATTTTTTTATGTAATTTCTATATATAAATCCTGGTATTAACAGCAAATCTTTTAGAGATTTTGAGAAACAAGATGTTTTCTCTATGGGTTTACAGGGAGGTTTCTATGTATGTAGTGCATATTTTATACAAACAAGAACAAAATTTATATTTGTAAAATCAAGGTATTGTAAAGGGATTATATGATGAAGTAAGAGTATTTAGTACTGTAGTTGCAAGTGGAAAAAAAACCCTACATTTATGATAAAAGTCGAGAGTATTTTATATTTTCATTGGTTTCAATTCTTTTTTTGTGTGGAATTTTTCACAAAAAATTGTCCCAGCTTTTATTCTGAAATTATACTAATACACCGGCATAATTTATTTAAAAAATAATTTCTCTTTTTTATTTATAGCCACTGTATTCTTTTTTTTATTAAATCTGATCCCATTAGAAACATTGAAATTTTTGCTGAATTTTATGGTTCTCTGTCTCTAAATAAGATTATATAGAAGCATGACCCCTGAAATAATTCTTTATTTTCAAGATGCAGTTAAATGATTTTTAAAAAATCAAAGAATGACATAATACAACTACTGAAAAGTGCTTTATATTTACATGCATAGAATCAAATCATAACATATGTAATATCTGACATAAGCTCTGACTGTGGGCAGCCAGCATAGCATCAATTTAAAAAATATTTGATCATCTTTACCGTATTATTTACACAAGCTATCTAACCAGACGGGTGAGTTTAGCGGTGTATGAACCAGAGGTCATTCCTAGGCAGCATGGTCAAACATTTAGCTATTGCCTCAGTGTCTGCTCCTTTGAAGGTCTGTGAGGCAGTTGGGTCAACAAGCATGTGCATCAGCACGTTGGCTTTTATAGCTCTCAAAGTCTAAAGTTTTTAGGGGTGATGTAAATTTAGTATCTCTCCAGCGATAAGTAAACGAGGTGTATCTGTTTGTTAAAATGTCTTTGTTGGTTTATAAATGTTGAATTTATATGGTTTAAAAAAAAATCTGTATCATTATGTCGTAATTAAACAAAAATATCAGTACAGGGAATAAGATATTTCTTCATAATGAAAACTATCTTGATTTCAGTTGAAATTGTTAAATTTAAAGCTTAATAATTGCTTTCTAAGCAGTTTTTTATAAAAATGTAGTCATTAGGTTTTCAAATATATTTATATAGTTTTCCCAAGGAGAACATATTCTGTATTTAGGGAATATACATTTTTAGATCCCTTTTTATAATTTTCCCTGTTTATAACTTCCAGGAATTATTGTGTAATGTTTGGGCCTCTGCTGCACCGCTAAAACAAGCACTTTATCACCCTAACTTTAGGTTAAATGCAAATTTTCCTAAATGCAAACTTTGTTAACGGGGTATTTTTACTGTACTTAAAACTAGTTGGACATGATGTAAAGTGTCAACAGACCTACAGGTAACCATCTGCCTACTTTCATAAGTTTTAGCTGTGTTTAAACATATTTTGTTGGAAATATTGTACACTAGCAGATGATGCAATAGATGAAAGCCATTTTGTGTATACCTGAATATAAAATCATTTACTTTATTTTTATATGATTCTATATTTTATATAACATTAGGAATATGTCATAGAATTTGAAAATTAAAAAAGTTGAATTTACATAATTATAATTTATGTATATTCTGAAATAAAATATGTTATAAACCCGTTTCTTGTTTTGGATTGATTGTTTATGTTTAGATCATGACATCAGGGATTCTACAACGTCACACTGAGCATCCTTCATGTAGTTTATCCTGTTTTAACAAGATAAAGTATTAATTTTCTTATTTTTTCGGATGCAAATTATCAAATTCTTACTTTTTTCAATTTCAAGAAGATGCACGTGTTCAATTATACCAGTGCAGTTTTTTAGGGCAACAGCATGTTTGCTCATACAAACAGTAGAAGTGGCTTTATGGACTGGCTGTGTTTGATGAGTAAACATTGCCCTGGCATGAAATTAGTTACATATCACGCTTTTACATTATGGACTGATTGCAATCTAAATATGAGAAACTGGTACACGTAGGGGTAAATAGATAATCATTAATTCAAGGTAGTATTAAAGCGTATTTTCTATTTTTATTTTAGAGATTTAAAGCCCTAAACATATTGAACACCAGAACAAAAATAACTAATAATTCTTACTGACTAAGCAATTTTTTTATGTTTAAATCTTTGTTTGCCAAACTGTGTAAAATGTCAATGACCGTAATATCTGACTCTGAAAATTACAGGGTCATAACATATCGTCCCTTCTCTGAAAATACATTTCCCAACTCTCTTCAAGAGGCCAACAGTACAGTCATGTTACATCATCTAAAATGGACTATAATCGGCACCTGAGGCACCCTGGCACATTTTTTTTTTTAGAGCAAAGGAGTATGTTTTCATATGTGATTTACTTGATTCACCATTAAAAATGCTTAATCCCTTTAAAAAAAACACATCAACTTTTATATGGCATTACTTTAGCCATGCAGTTAAGAAAGCTTTTTTTTGTACCGGTAACATGGGTTTTAAGTCTTTTCATTAGAAACACAAATCAACATTAAATATACTCTGGACATTAAAATGGTTCAAAGACAAATGCCAGACATTTACCTCTGGTATCAAGGTAAAGTCAAGATAAATCAGTTACATTGTGACATGAATCTGGGAATAAAAATGAAACCTGATTTTTTAAATGGGACACGGACTCGTTTTGCAGTGCTTTGATAATCAGATACTCAAATGCAAGCAGACCTACAGTATGTGGACAAGAATAAAAAGAGTCTTATACAGTGCATTGCAAACATTTTCATTGTATTTTGCAGTGGCAACTGGGGCGAGGGAATACTCCTCAGTAGAGAAATAAAGGCTGGAATAAGCTAAACCGGCTGGTATAAAATGACAGACTGTAGATTGAAGACAAAGTTTGACAAGAATACATCCTTTGATATGGAGCTAGAAGTAAAATGACCTGGCTTAGATTGAAGAATATGAGTGTGTTAACATTACCTGGTCGAAGTCTAAATCTAAGCCCACTGAAGAATCTTTCTGTAAAATTTAAATATATTCACCACAATCCAATGTGTTTTATCTTGCTGAAGAAAATAGAGAAAACCAATAGAAACAAATGAACTGAAATGTGAGAATCTAGAGTCTATGAACCAATTCAAATTTTGAAATATTATTGATTATTATCACCAATTGTGTAAGAGCTACATCTGATAGACACAAGAAATAAAGGAAACTCTTTCCTTTGTATTGATAAAAATTCATCTAATTTAAATTTAAATCAATTCTTTAAAATGTAGTACCAAAACATTTAGGTTTTTTGGTATTTTGAATTGTTTTTTTTTATTTGGGCCAATTAAATGTGTTTCTGTTACTAAATGTGGTATTTTTTCTATTAAAAATAGCTTATAATGACTTAATAGAAAATGTTTTACAAACAGATTAATCATTAAGCTATTCATTTAATATTAAGTATCAAAATATTTAGACAGTATTATAATCCCTTTACATCAGAAACCACTGATTATGGCTTAAATCTTCAGAGGCACATAAAGGCAGTTACTAAGTCAGTCTTTTATCACCTGAAGAACATCTCCAGGATTGAAGGACAAATGTCCAAGTAAGATCCAGACCAACTCATTCATGCATTTTTCTTTAGTAGAATTTAATATTGCAGCAGTGTCTTCATAGGTTTGCCTAAAAAGTCTGTCAGACAGCTGCAGGCAGCTGATCAAAAAAGCTGCTGCCCTTGTTCTCACTAGAACTTAGAAACTAGAGCACATCAGCCTGGTTCTGAAGCCCTTCCACTAGCTCCCTGTAGCTCAGAGAAAAGACTTTAAAATCCTTCTCTCAATCTGTAAATCAGTAAATGGATCCCTACACTTTCCCTGTGGCTCAGCAGGACTGGATCTTTTAAAACAGAACATTAGCTAAACAAGGAACTATGATTTTAGATCATTTTAAAACATAATTGGCAATATACAAAACTACTTTGCACTCCAAAGCCCATCTTTCCAGCAAACCTGAGCAGAAAGGCCTTTTGTTTTTGTCTGATGAGGACTTTGGGTGAAAGCTGAAGGTGTGACTGCACGTGTAAGGGTTTTAAAACACAAGCAGTTAGACCCTTACGTGACAAGTGAGACCAGTGTGACACCACGAAGTTCCGGCATTAGCCTCATTCAAAGAAAGTAGATAGCTGACCTAGATTGGAAAAATGAGAAGCCTACTGACTCACTGATATACTGACACACTGACCCACTCTTTTCCAGTGTGCCACTAAAACCCTAAATCCTTCACTCCACCTACAATCCCACAAATCCTCTGCTGAGGGTTAAAGGTTTCAGCCAAAGTCGCCTCTCAAAGTGTCACGGCAGGACAGGACACTGTGAAAACAAACTGTTCCACTCTCTCCCCCTATTACACGGGTAAACAGTAAATAACGATGCTAAGCTTAGGGGGAAAAGTACTGTGCATCACCACAGCTACATGATCCCTGCATTTAACAAGTCATGTAGTTACAAATTATATGAAGCAAATTCTAAGACTTAATTAAATCAAATCACGGTGTATAAATGGTACAAAGGAATCTTAACTGGGACTTACTATCAGAATCTATATTAATTCACAGAAAATATATTGTTTAGTAGCTGCCTGAAATATTGATAAAAATAATAAAAATTAGATGATAGTTACAATATCCATGTTTTTTTAAAACTTTTTTGAGCATCAAGGCCAATTATCATAATGAAATCGTATATCTTCAATAAGCCCAACAGTGATCAAATAGCTCCTGTAGACAAGAGCATACAAATAGATAGGCTATAAAATATCTGCTGTAATGGATCTGTTTACATTTCATTATCTATACAATCTAACATAGGGACATAGAGCTAAGCTGTATGACATACTTTCATGGGCATTTTAAAAAGACTGGATCTGCACTGTTGACTGTGTACTAGCTTTAAGAAACACAGCACTTCAAATAACTTTTAAATCCTCAGGCTGATCGCATTACGACAGTCCCAGTTACCTGTTATGTCTCTCTGAGTTACATCAGGAGTACCTTGTTCCAGAACAATATCCGGGAGCCTCATCAAGAACTAAAGAAAGAATTACCTTCAACTCATTTTTCCAACTGAAAGAGCTCATCTGAGGTCAGCTGCTTTTAATAAGCATTTTCATTTAAATTAAAACCATAGACAAAGCAGAGAGTCAACCTGGTGATGTATTAGTAATAATTACGATTAATATCATTATAAGAACAAATCGACTAGCAGCGAATTGTGGTAATTGTTTCTAACAAGTCTTTTTAATTAAGTTTAGAGGACTGGACACATGCAAATACATTAACCCTCCTATATCATTTTTTTCCTTGGGGGTTGAAAAGGTTATCAAAATGCTTATCAGCCATTCCGTACAAAAAGAGTTAATTCGAATAAATCTGTGATCAGCCAAATTATTGCTCCTTCTTTAAAGATTAACAAACATTTGCATATACGTTAAAATATAATTGTTGAAAGAATAAAAAATATTTCAAAATAACAAAAACACTGAATAATATTGCTCACAGCCTGCTTAGCATTTACCACATTTCACCACAGCATCCCATTATACCACATGGTGGCACTGTGTGTTTAAGAGGGTTGGGAATCCCTCTCCAATTTACTATTGAGGATAATCCAATTAAAATGACCCTTACTCTACGCTAATCATGTAATTTACTCGATCCTTTGCATCAAAATATTTAGACACTAAATTGTTGTCAAGCAAAGACAAAGCGATCATGTTTAGCTGCAGAGGGCCTAAGGGGTCTAGATATGAAAATATGCATGCTTGTATTTTTAATCATATAGTAAAAATAGGTAGATGATTTGCATAGAAAATATGAGCTGTACTTACTGGGTTGTCAAGGAAATTACTTTATCATTACAGGAACTGGATTAGCTGGACATATTCTGAATTCTT